AAGGGGTCAAATACCCTCTGAGTTAATTTCATTAGGTACCTAAAAGGTTTCTTTGATATTGATGGGTGATTCTGGTTTTAAAATGCGTCTGCCCATATCAACACAGGATATCGCGAGGTCGATATATTTTTCCCGCCTTCAGGCGTCAAATTCTTAAACAGTGTTTTGGAATGAAAAAGGTCGAAAATACGAAGTTTATCTTTGCAAATTCAACTATGGGAAATATCGTGAAAATGTATTTATAAAAAAAATAACAATTTTTGTCTGTCAGTAACAGCCGGGCGATAAAAGCTATCGGTGAATACGGTAAAGTAATTATGTTTCACAGGGGAAACACCAATTAAATAAACAAATGAATTTATTTCATGTTGAAAAAATTTTAACATATCCTGTTTTGCCTTCTATCTGTAGAAAAAATAAAGTAAGGTTAAACTGTTTAGTATGACTCTAGACCGTTTCATGAAAATGGAATTTAACAGGAATTTTATAGGGCCAAGCGTTAGACAACACAAGATCACTCTATTGATCATTAGAGATTTAGACAGGATGACTCTTAAGGCAAGTATATGCTGTTATCTTCTCGTTATCAAAAACATGGTTTGCTAACACGAACGCTATGCGAAAAAGATTGAAATCCCACGGAAATCTTGTGAAAACTTAAGACTATCGCAATAAGCGATCAGATAACGTAGTTTTGAAAAGATGCCATCAGTGATGCAGTTTCCGCTGGAGATCAATCTCTCATATTACAGAAATGAGTCAACGCCTATTTGTGTGAACTTGCCAAAGCTTAACGTTATTTCAGTGCATATACCAGGTGCATTCATCAGTGCGCGGCGACCGGAGCACGGCAAAAACGAGCCTAAAATGCAGGGATTTTTCCTCATTACAGCGTTGCTGTATCTGTCAGTTGCTTGTCTGGTAAGTGACGTTTCAATGTTACGTTTCTGTCGGGGTTTCTGTTTCTTATTCCCGGCTTATTGTATCGATTAGCGACATTAGCCTTGCTAAGAAGGATTTTCCCTGATGACAATTCTTGGTAAGCGAGCTCCCATGCGGTTTTAATTTGGCCAATTTTTCTTTTCCAGATTCTGGAGCAAACGGTTTGTTACATCGTTATATCCGATCCTGTTTACTGCGGTTTTGGTCATGAATGTTTTATTAATCTGATCTCTCCAATTTAGTGGTCGTTTGTTCTTTTTTCTTGAATGTAGCATTCGATTGTCAGTGTATTAGCCTCTAGAACCGACCACTTCGTAACGGTATACAGTACTTCTATTAAATCTTTCACTGCTTTTCTACAGCCTCAAAGAAATACAAATTATCCCCAACAATGATCTTTTATGACATATACACTTCTAGAATGCGGACATTGTTCATGTAAACTATTTTAGGTGGCTTTATTGTCACATGTTGCAAATGTTTACTGGAAAAAATACAAGGCGTCTGGAAATTTACTGTTATATTACCATTTTTAACCCTTCTTCTAAGTAGTTAATGGAGGAAGTTCCCCTAAATCTGGAAAGTAAAGAACAGCCGGATTTTATCCTTCCTAGTGTTACCCCGCGAGCAGAGGTTTCTCTTTTCCATGGCTTTTAGCGTTAACAAAGTCGTTCGAAAAGCCATGCAGGAGAGAAAACCCTGATCGCAGGGTATCCTAGCTTTCGATCCGTCGTGTAAAATACTTTTGTACGGTAAATGCGAAATTTCCGATTGATCGTTGTTGAATTAATTTTCTTTGTCTAGTCTAAACAAAACGAAACAGAAGACCAACACTCCAGCTGAAGTAAAATAATCTAAATATTTGGGGAAATGTACGGAATTTCCCGGGGTATCCGCGCGGTATTTCCCATAACTATGCCTTTACTGTAGTATCAACCCAAGCTGGGATTTCGAGCGCTTGAAACAAAGCCCAGTTCTTTTATTCAATTCGAGTTGTAAGAATAGAGCAGTTTGTCACTCTTCTGGGAAGCGAGAGACGGCCTTCGAATGCTCAAGGGTATCTTTCAACAGCATGGATAGCGGCTTTCCTTGACAGCTCCCAGATCAATCTATTTTGGTTATTTTTACTGATGGCCGCGATTCTTTTCCCAAAAACTAGAATGCCGGACTTGAAAAGGCCTACTTTCGTCATCTATTTTGGGACCAAAAAATCATAAAGAGCTACGAAAACTATCGGACATAATGTAACGTACATGTAGGGCTGATGTTATTTTTGAGATTTCCCACAGCGAAAACATGAGATTTCTCAGCTTGCTTTGACAAGGGGTCTCTTTAAAAGAGGCTAAGGGTTAAACGGTCGCCTAGACGATTAAGGGCTTCGAAAAAGGACTTCTTTGACTTTATTGATGCGGAAATGACGATGTTTCGTGACTATTTCAAAATGTAGAAATTGTTGATCCTTCGTCCGAAGGTCTTGAAGCGCCAGGTGAATCTAGGCTGATAAGAATAGCTAAGAATGGTGTAAGAGTGCGTGGAAAAAATAAAATTATTGACCTGTCTCTTCCAATCTGGCGGAATTGGCCAGCTGGAGGAAGGGTTGCGCTTCTCGAAAAATAGTCGCACGCTATTAATTCTTCTCTTTGGTCGGTTGTGTTTTTTGGTTGCGTCTCTAAGCTGGAACCAAAAAAACAAAATTTAAAACCAAAATTAAAATGAATTCTTGGAAGTTTATATTAAAACAAATGTATAAAAACAAGAGAGCCGCAATATCTTTTAAGTTCACCACCATCTCATTCAAATTTATATAGTTCAAAGAATTGATGTGGAACGGCTTTCACTTACCGCCGCTTGGTAACCATTGACCTGTTTGGTTTCAGTCCGCTTCCGTGATGACTTACTTCTAGACAATTTTTTTGTTTAAGATCGGGGTGGTCCATTCACAAGTTACACTTACCGGGCGTGATAATCTTTGTAGTACTTACTTTTGAGTGATACTCTTACCCGGGTCTTAGCATGAACAAGGCTACTCAAGACTGCGAGAGGTCCCTCTCTTTTTCTTTGTTTTAAGTTCATCAAGCGAAGCGCAACAGTGAGAAGAAAAAAAAAATGGCCACGGCAGGCTCATTGCATTCCACTTACTGTGATGAAAAATAGCTGCTTGAGCGGCCTTCCCGTTTTTCCTTTTTCCAGGTTCACAATCCCCAGAATTACAAGTTAAACCACATGGCACCCAAGTTGTTATCGAGAAAAACTTGATTCAAGAGGTCGAAAGTCGTCTACCGCGTGAAAATACGATCGCGCTTAACCATGAGCTTTGCCTGCCTTTCCTTGAACTAAAATGCTCTCATTACCTCAAGTGATTATTGCAATTTGTTTGTAGGCCGTAACTGCCACCAGTCTCTTAGTTTTGAAGGCACCATTTCCTCGAGTCCAGCGCGAGTTCGAAAACCTCTCTGATCGAGGCCGGTTTTATCGGGAGTGCATACAGTGAGACAATAGGGACTTTAAGATCCAACGACGCGACGGCAATGACAAGGTCGCTTAAAAAGTGAATTTGCATTCTTTCAGTCTTTATCGCAATAATTCCTACCCACTTACTTTGTCAAATGTAGGCGAAGCCTCCCGGAGTTGAATTCCTAGGCACCGTATTCAAGTACAGAGAGAGGAATAATATTTCGTCGTTGCTTGTTTACGTCCTCCATAAAACGCGAAATTAGGCATGTTCACGTCGTAGTCGTGCAAAAAAGGGCAGAGAAATGTACAAAAAAGCGTGGTGCACGTGAAAAGTTGCTGTTTCGCTATTAAAAACTATTGTTTTTTTGACCTTCTCGTCTCCTTCCGCGTCGTAATAATAATAATAATAATAATAATAATAATAATAATAATGTGATAAACATTCGTCTTATGGTCAATTACTATCTATGGCTGGGATATCTACTCTACACAACCGGCGACTACAGGACATAGCTATTCTCATGTATAAAGTTAAAAACAACATGTGCCCAGCATACATTAGCACTCTCTTTGAACAGCCTGCAATTAAGTATGAACTGCGCAATCATGACTTCACTATACCCAGATTCAACACAGTCTCCTTTGGAAAGCACTCGCTCAGGTATATGGGCCCAAGGGTTTGGAGTTCTGTTCCTAGTAATGAAAAAAAAAAAGCTTCCACGTTGTCCTCCTTCAAATATAACATCAGAAAAGTGGATCTTAGCATGCTATTAGATGACAATAACTGCTCTAACTGCTCTCTTTGCACTTCTTAATCTTTTATTTCTTTCTTTTTTTTTTTTTTTATAAGTAATGGATACATTTGTACATATTGTATATAGTTCTCTCGAATTTCTCACTTGCTTATACTGTACATAGTTTTTCTTAATTTTTAATTAATTTATTAATTGATTTATTTTTTTAAATTTATTTTAGTGTCCCCACTTAGTGGTTATATACCGCTATTACAGTTTGACACTTTAATAAAGGTATCATCATCATCATCATCATCATCAATAATAATAATAATGCTTTTTATCCAACTAGTGGTCTATTATCAATGCTGTGTTCTGATTGGTTGAGCTAATACTAGGCTATATGTTATAGCCCACTAGTAGCAAAAAGAGCCGGCTTTTTGGTAGCAAAAAAGGATTAAAGTCTAGCTTTAAGTAGTTAAAATTCTTTTATTCTCGATATTTTTGACCAACTAGTTGGATTTTACTAAAACAATTATTTCTCATGCCCTCATGGCCCCTGAGTCAATAGCCCATTCGGCCTTAAGCCTCATGGGCTATTGACTCAGAGCCCATTCGGGCTCGAGGAATAATTGTTAAATAGCCAAAGGCTAATAAACTTGTGGCCCTCAAGACCGTTGGATCTTAAGGTTATGTTACACAAGACAATTCGCAACGACGATTTTTAAAGCAACACAGCGTTGCAACATTGTTTCGAATGGCTGCAACACCGTTCCAACATTAGAACACTGTGTTGCGCTGTAAATCGTCTTTGCAAATCGTCCCATGTAACATCACCTTTAACGTCGCTTATGTCCGCTGTGCAACAACACACTGTTTATTGCTTTTGTCCCTTTTTTATTTTTTGTCAAGGTCGTAAAAGGACAAGATGACCCTTGTAGGGGTGTGGTCTGTCCAAGAGGCCGCATGTGTGTTCCCTACACAAACGATGAGGGGAAGAGCTATTCCACCTGCGAATGTCCAACCAGTTGCACACCGGAAGTGAACGAGCCTGTTTGCAGTTACTACAATACATCGTTCATCAGTCGCTGTGAGATGCATAAGTTCGCTTGTGCGCACGACCTAACCATGAAAGTGAAGAGTGAAGGAAGCTGCCCTTCCGATACAGTCGGTAATTAGTGTAAACCAGGGCCCAGTCGATTAGTACTATACCGGGGTTTAATTTTAATCTTGGTTTCTTTATCTTTTGCTCAAAAGCATTTTCTCGGATAATTTTCTCTATTCTTTTTAGAGCATCCAATCATCAAGCTGTGGGCGAAAAGAATGTTTTTTCTTTTTAAGCTTTCATATCTGAATTTAAATTTCGTACTAACCCTGGGTTGTCTTAACCCAGCTTTGATCAACTCGGCCCTGGGTCCAATCTCGCCATAAGTTTGGTGCCAAGCGAATAAAGGGGAGGGGAGGGAGAGGCAGGGTTGGAGACTCTCCAAGGGGGGGATTAACCCCCTCTAAGTTCTCTTTGTGACCAGCAACAAATTTATCCCAACATTATCACTGCCAAATTAAAAGTGCAGATCAAGAGAAAGAATGAAATGATAAACAGTGATAATAGGTCATGATGATGTCTTGACGTTTGAACTAAGTTTCTTAAGCAGTACAATAAGAAACATATATATCGAGAACGGTGTGGAGAATATACATATTGATATCGGGGTTGAAAGGGTTAATGCGCGCGAGTGCCTGAAATACGCGGAATTCTCTTCCGCGGCGTTTGTTATAGACCTTCAAAAAAGTCCCTCGTCGGATTTCATTTGGCACGGGACCTCTCGCGACTTCGTCGGATGTGTATAACCAGCAAACAAAATTTCACGGTGCATTGTCCTTGATGGTAAGATCATTTACGTGTTCCTTTGCAGTTGCTTGTTCCGAAGACTATCTCCTACAATTTCCAACTCGGTATCTGGAGTGGATAATGATTGCTCGTGAAGTCTCCCTCGATCCAACATTTTCTCTGAGTTCTGGAGCACGCGCCGATGCCTTAACTGAAGCAGAAAGAAACACTATCTTGTCGGTAAGAAGAACGTGACACTAAATACCCTCAAGCGTGGAGAAATAGCACTTTTAGGATGCCTCCTAGCACTTTCCCTGCCATCTTGGAGCCTGAAATAGGCTATAATATATCGAAACTTTTCTAACAGCTCATTGTTTAAGACAATCTTTTCCTTTTGATTTGCTTTTTAGTGGGAATTTGATTACATTGACAAGAACAAGAACAATGTCCTTGATAATGAAGAAGTGGGCCGAATATTTTTCGACTTGTTGAATGCCGAGCCTTGTATTGAAGGCTTCCTCTTGTCCTGTGACCAGAATGAAAAGGAAGGAATTGAACGCCGCGAATGGGATTTCTGTTTTCCAAAAACAGCAGGTAACATTTGACCCAAAAAATATGAGGTTTGACTGCAGCAAACCACGCGACACAGAAAAGCCCGATCACTTACTGTTAGGGCTTTTTCTGTAAAGCAAGCTCATCCCCTGAGACTTTCCCTTAGAAAAGGGGAGAGCATGCCATTCGCCACTATAGAAACAAGAGGGAACCTAGGCCGAGTTAACTTTGCAAAGGCTTATGGGACTGTTGCTAAGGACAGGGAAACACCATTGGCCAATCACAGACTGAGGCGTCCCTTGTGACGATCCCTGAAACAATTGCGGGACACATTTCGGCTCCACTTTCCTTTTCGTATCTAAAGTAGCGAATTTTCTATGGCCCGGAAAAGTCCTGTGAACGAAGTTGTCTCTGGAGGTGCTTGTGAAAGTCGTCACTTTTTTAAAAAACAGAAAAAAGCAATTATTTAGTTACAAGGCCAGTTCTACGGTAAGACTAATACCACCCGCACCATGGCGAAAGACACTTTAGATGCCTCTTCTTCTCGTTCTCATGCTTCTAGTAGATCTGCTTAGGAGTCGAGTCTCTGTAAGAGTCTGCATTAGGGTGACACACCTGAACATCGGAAATGCAGATCTCTGTCTCTCCCAAAAGCCTCAAGCAAAAATATCCAAATGGGTATCAGTGGCTTTGTTAGCGCCATTATTTAATGTCTCGCTTATATTTAAATCTGGTTAGCCTTTAATTTTGTGGTTAATACTTGCTGTTTCACTCTTTTAGGTACAGCCTTTGAAAACAAAAAGTGAGGATGATGCTGTCAAAAAAATTCTAGACTATTTTTCATTATTCCTGAATACTTGATTATATAAGTAAAGCAATATAAGCTTTTTATGTTAAGTAATGCTCCAGCTAAGAAGCGGGCAGAAAAACAATAGCCCGCGGCAATAGCGTCAGTTACTTTTCAGGCGCTAATTTCTCGAATAGGGTATTTGTCTTTTTGAGAGGCTGGCCGAGATACTGACAGATTGTTAACATTGAAACCTGGTCAAGCAGTCAAAATTGATATTCCGGTAAAACCAATCGGTTTCATGTAGGGATGGGCTTTGTTCTTATTCCTGATTGGAACAAAATACAAAGTAGCACGTGTCAGTGTTCCGACTGTAACGCGGCACGAATTTCCTGAAGCAAAAAACAGTGCCAAAAAAAACAGATTTCCTTACACGAAATCAACCCAATAATGTTTTCTCGCTTTTCTTTAAGTGTATTAAAATGCTAATAAAAAAGAAAGTAAATTACAAAGCAAATAAAGAGCACTTTGTACTCCGTTTAATCCCCACTTAATTCGACGTTTTTAGTCTCCCAAAGAGTGATATGAAGTTAGCTCCTTGTAGTAGATGAGTTTTACGTCTTTTGACACTTCTTCCGTCTTTAATATGTCTTCGCGGAGGAAAAAGTGCCAGAGCTAAAGGCGACTGCAACTCTTTTTCGTCCAGTCTCTTCATCCTTCCATCTCTGCTAAGCTGTCGGTTATCATTTCTTTCGTTTCTTCATCTTTTGCCTCGTCTGCTAGCTTAAGCGCTCTCTTCAGAGCTTCCTTTGCTTTTGAAACGTTACCTTAAGGGAAGGAACAAAGCGACTTGTTAGCCTATCACTAGCTTGCGTAGCTGGCGGGATTGTTATGCGTGGGATACCTTCTTCGCGGCGGAGCCGCGAGGAGCGAGAGGCGAAGTCGCGAGGGAAATCCGTTGACTTGTTCCTTGTCATGCTCAGGCTCTCAATCTTTTCTCGGATCCGCCGCCAAGAAACAACAGCACGTCCGGTAATCCCGCCAGAAACGAAGGCTAACCTCTCATTATCAGTTATTTGGGTTGAAACCAAAATAAAGGGCAGCCTGCGTAGCTGGCAGGATTAGCGGGAGTGCTGTAGTTTTGTGGCGGCCGAGCCGCATGAAGATGTCGAAGATTGGGAGCCAGTCAAGTACCCCGGGCACAACAATCCCGAGCACTTCGCAGGCTAAATAAAGGGCTTAACGGTCCGTTAACACGGGAAATTAATAGGTCAGAATTTTCCGCAATTAAAGCGGCAACTTAAAGCGCAATTTAACCCTCCCTCGGGGTATTTTTTACGCTAGTTGCCAAAACATTTAATAAGTGGTGTTCACATCGTAGGCGCCCTAATCAAGTTCCAAGTTCATTTATTCACACTAATTCAATTACAATACAACAACAATAAGAAAAAAAGAAGTAAAAACATGGCTAACTATACATTGAAATAAACATAACAAAGGAAAAAAGTGTGTAGCAGCCAAAGGAGCCAGATGAAAGATGCAAATTTGCCCTAAAAGTCTAATTTTCTGACAAGTATCCCCGTTTCTTTCATACTGGGATCAGCTGCTCCCCCCCCCGTCTGGATATCGCACTTAAAAACGCATCAAGAATTAACTGCCTAAACACCAGGCCCAGTTCAGAAGGGAGTCAGTTGTTAAAGAGGTGCATAACGTTACCAACCGGATAAATCACTATACGCAGGATAACGCACATAGGCGCTATCCGCCGAAAAAATCTCTTTCCACTGGATAGTCCAATACATTTCCCAAAAGCGTATCCCGGGGGGGGGGGGGTACTCCTAGGAATTCTTGGTGGGGGTGTGTGCCGCCCGGTTCTCCAAATCCTGACCCTATTTCAGATCAAAGAACACCCGTTTTCAGAACTGGCGTCTAAGAAATTATGTCATCATTACTTAGATTAGAGCGCAAACAAGAAGATTTCTTAAAAAGCTTTTCGAATTCGCATATATCTCTTTCTTTCTTATTCATATGGAATTGAAACATACTCTCCCGTTGTTCCCTTGAAAACCATACCCGATTCCAGACCAAAATGGACAAAATTTATACCCGTTCTCAGACCGAAAAGGCGCAAAAACTATATCTTTTGGGGCGGCACAAACCTATGTGACTTATATAAGGAAGCACCTCCCACCCCACCCCCCCCCCCCCTGAAACGCCTCCCCCCGCCGCCGCTTTACCCAGGGGATACGCCTACCCCCGGGGGGGGGGGACGGCCATAGGTGGGGCAAACAGGTCAGGCGCGGGGTGCAGGGTAAGGTTTTCGTACGGTGTATTCTGGGACAGGGTGGATAAATAGGTATGTGCCGCTGTGAAGGGTATGGTTTTCAAGCAGTTTACTCTAGGATAGGGTATATAAATCAGAACGTTTGGGTCTAGAATAGGGTATCATTTTTCAGGAAACTGATCAGTTGGTTGAAGATTTTACCTAGACTAGGGAAACAGCTACTCTAGGATAGGGGGGATTTTGGGAGTTTACTCTAGTATAGGGTAGCAAAATTCAGCTGAACTAGCTCTGGTAAAGGTTAAGGGTTCCAGGGTCCCAGCGGCACATCCCCACCCAGAAATTTCTAAAGTGCCCCCCCCCGGGGCGCTATCCAACTTCCAAACTGCTACAACCAGGCCTTATTGACTGACTTTCATGGTCACACGGCAACATGTTAATAGATGTATACCTTCCAGGTTAAGGATGGTTCCTAGATTGGCCACGAAGCGTGACAAATGAGTGTTTTGAGTCTGTTCAGCAATGTGCACAGCTTCTCTGGCCATTTCTTCAGCCAGTTCGTACTTTCCACTCTCAGCATAAGCCTTGGCTAGGTTATTAAGGACCACTGTGGTCTAAAAACAAGTTTAAAATAGAGACCGTTAGATTCCAAGGTGAGCAAGACTAGGCGAACGAGATTTTCTCAATACTAAGTAGTGCTCGCGCGTGAACCAGCGTCATTTTGGCGGGAAAATGTGGTAGCCGTCGTCATTCTACTACGAGTTTAGCATAAAGTTCGTAGTGACGGAAACAAGTTGTCAAATTTTAGAAGTATTATCATTTTGCGATCGGAAGAGGGCATAAACTTCTTCAATAAAATAACCCTGTCAACTTTACTGATTAAAAAAAAAAGTAAAATGAAGCTCTTCGAGATGTCTTTTTGGAGAATACACGAAACAAGAAAAAGTCAAATCTCGGCCACGTCCTCGATTCCAAAGGTCTCTAATTTCATTTATTAGCCTTGTATTGGATGGTCAGAGGGATAAGCCCGGAGATCGAGCAGTAAATAAACGGCAAGCAAAAAGCAAAGCGCGAATTTGAGCGCACAAGGAGCAGGGACTACATGTAATGGCGAAGGGCGGAAGTTATAATCTCTCCACTGTTAGCAGTAAGTAAATTGAACGCTGGTCTATCAAGTGGGATTCAGGGTTACAAATTCTATCCCGAAAATACACGTTTTAACGCAACTGTTTCTTTCGCATATTTTTGTTCTTCTTGTTATAAGCGTCCGGGCACGTATTTATGGTAACAGGTAATTTTCTGGTACCTTGGGTCTTTAAAGGTACCTTCTGTGGTCGGTTAATTCAGCTACATACCTGCTCATGATCCTCTCCCAGAACCTCTTTAGAAACCTTCAATGCCCTAGTCAGCAACTGCGCAGCTTCAGTGGGTTTGTCTTGTGAAAGGAGATACGTCCCCCACCCCTCAAGGCACACACCTAGCAGCGCCTTGCTGAAATACAATCATACAATGTTAGCTTATGAATAGCCAACTCTTGTCAGTTCCACTGGGCCAACAGCAGAAGAAGGCAATGAGAGATACCCTGTTAGAAGGAAGGGGGGAAGCGTGGAGGGGGTAAGGGGGGAGGGGGCAGGTGGAAGGGCAAAAGGGGAAGGGGGGATAAGGGGGGGGACGGGAAGGGGGAAGTGAAAGGGGGAAAGGGGGCGTTGCGTATGTGGCTAGACTGAATTTTCGCATATTGAAAAAAACAAATTCTCATCATCGGAATAATAGGAAGTGTAAGGAAACTGTGTGGAGAAAATGTCAGCTGTTAAGAGTGATGTACCTTACCTGTTTTCTGTTACATCTGGAGATTCATTTACTTTCTTCTGTATAGTATCTGTTGCCCACTGGAATCCTTGAGCAGCAAGTTCATGTCTGCAAATAAAATTGACACATCAGCAACTGTTCTCTTCTCCCTTAATCAAGCTCCTTCCCTGTAATGGGGATTTTCTGCTTAAAAGGGGTAACTTTTCAGGCTAGAGGCATGTATCTGTAAAGGTAGGTAGCAATTTAAACAAATCTTAAATAAAAACTTTACAGACAGTTTGATCAACTCACTTTTCTTGGTGAGCGCAAGCTATGGAAAGCTTGAGGGATACTTCAACTACTCCATCATCATCCTAATAATGTGAAGAAAAAAATTCATGAGAATTCGTTATAACAATCATTGTCCCATTTAAAACCATGACTAACCTTAGGGATATCCGATGATAAAAGATCTTGTAGTAGTAGGCGAAAATAGTGCTCTGCCTAAAAATTAGAAGGAAGATGCATCATAAGTTTAATACAGAAGAACAATCGACCAGACATACAACCATTATTACTTTATGTACTTTAAGTATACATCCTGTAGAATCTAATGGGCACCTAACTGTAAGCAAAGAACCAAAGGAGCATACTGTATAAAACATTTGATCGTAAAAAATAATCAGAAAACTTCCCGTATACTTGTTACTACAATATGTAACGGTAAAGTTGAACAAAAGTGCTATAAACAGTTCAAAAGTTTTGGGTTTTGCCCTTCTTCAGTGAGAAGCTAAGTGGTGTTGGTTGTTAGAAGGTAAGCACATACAATAAAAAAAATTTAAGTGTGCATGCAACCTAAAGGTACAGGAAGTCAGAATTTATATAGGCTGCATGGTTGATTGGTGCCTGATTAGTAAACATGGCCATCTCAACAAAAGCATTACAAAACATGTTTTATTTGTAATATCAAAACCAATATTTAACTTAAAATTGAAAAAAAAATTAAGAGATTAGGTGGAATCCTGACTTTAAAACCTTCTAGAGAAATGGAGATAGATTCTTTAAACAATGATCAAGCTAAAATATGTGGGGAATATTACAGGCAAAGGGTATCACTTTTGATTCTAATATCAGTAGTTGAGAGGTTTAAAACCAAACATGTGTTACATCTCAGTACATTTACCTCACTCCATTTTTGAAGTTGGAATGACAAATTTGCCAACTATAATTAAAAACAAAATACATTAACATGTGTATGAATTAAGAAATAAGAAAGTGTCTATTGAAGCAGTTCAGATGCACAGACAAGGTTTGTGAAAAAGGCCTACAGAGGTCATGAACAGGCGGGTATCTTAAAGAATCCTTGACATGATAGTGTAGGTTCCTACCTAGGATCCTGGACAATCCTAGAAAGATCCTATAGAATCCTAAAGCACCCTTGACATGTTGGTAGACAAGATCCTTTGGAATCCTAAAAAACTCATTGACATGATCATGTTGGTTCCCATCTAGGATCCTTGACAATCCTAAACAAAATTCTAGACACATTCCTACACAGGATCCTAGATGATCCTAGACAAGATACTATGACTCCTAATCAATTATGGACAAGAACCTATGGGATCCTAGACAAGATCCTATGGACTCCTAATCAGTTCTGGACAAGATCCTATGGGATCCTAGACAACATCCTATGGACTCCTAACCAATTCTGGGCAAGATCCTACGGGATCCTAGACAACATCCTATGGAATCCTAATCAATTCTGGACAACATCCTACAGGATTCTCGACAACATCCTATGACTCCTAATCAATTATGGACAAGAACCTATGGGATCCTAGACAAGATCCTATGGACTCCTAATCAGTTCTGGACAAGATCCTATGAGATCCTAGACAAGATCCTATGGACTCCTAATCAATTCTGGACAAGATCCCACAGGATCCTAGAAAACATCTTATGGACTCCTAATCAATTCTGGACAAGATCCTACGGGATCCTAGAAAACATCTTATGGACTCCTAATCAATTCTGGACAAGATCCTACGGGATCCTAGAAAACATCCTATGGACTCCTAATCAATTCTGGACAAGATCCCACAGGATCCTAGAAAACATCTTATGGACTCCTCATCAATTCTGGACAAATTGCTTAGTGATCCTAGACAACATCCTATGGACTCCTAATCAATTCTGGACAAGATCCTACGGGATCCTAGACAACATCCTATGGACTGATTATCAATTCTGGACAAGATCCTACAGGATCCTAGACAAGATCCTATGGACTCCTAATCAATTCTGGACAAGATCCTACGGGATCCTAGACAACATCCTATGGACTCCTAATGAATTCTGGACAAGATCCTACGGGATCCTAGACAACATCCTATGGACTGGTTATCAATTCTGGACAAGATCCTACAGGATCTCCTATGGACTCCTAATTAATTCTGGAGAAGATCCTATGGGATCCTGTACGGGATTCTGCAGGACTCAACAGAATCCTGTGAAATATTAAACAGGATGATGAACTACCCTGTGCATGCAGCTAACTGATTAGAGCACTTAACTGGTAATATGGTAATTTTGTCTCAAACAATTTCGCATTCCCATTTATCCAGAATATTTTTTTGTGAAATTTCTGATGTTTGATTTCTATTTTGTTGAAAATTATAGGATGCTGAAAATATCTTGTAGGAGTCTAAGGGATTGATCCTGATAGCATTTTACGAGAACACTTAATGGGATTAAACAGGATCATGATAGGATCCTTATAGTTTATCTTATTGGATCCTTATAATAAGATCCTGGTTAGAATCATGGAGAATTTTATAAGATCCTGGTTAGGATTGTATAAAATTTTTAACAGGATCTTGGAAAGTATTTTGGAAAGGTCTTTGGTTAGGATCATGTTGGAATCCTCTGAAATCTTACTTTGGATCCTGAGTGGGATTTTTCAAGGGAAGGGAGTGTGGATATTTTTGGAACAACCCAATTTCTTCAAAGTACAATGTAGAGATATGAGTCAATAACTTCATTTAATAAAATAATTAATTATTTATTATTTGTTGCAAACAAAGTCACAAAAATTTAACTTTTTGCATCCCTTTAATCATTTGGATTACCAGTATCCTGCAAAACTGTTTTTCTGCCAAATATAAAATATACAACTCAATTCAAATATTACCTGATCCAGCACGTATCTCAAATACTTATGCGTTTTTATTTTGTCCTTTTTTTCTTGTTCAGTTGATTCTGGTTTGTTGTTTTTGGTTCTCTCAAAATATCCATGGATAAGTTTGAGAGCTTCTTTCAATAACTTGATGGACTGATCCTTATCTCCTTCCATATCTTTTTTCTTAAACAAAACGCAAATGAAAATCAAGAATAAGTAAGGATAACTACCTTGAAAAGTCAGTGATACTGTACTATCCAATGGCATTTCATTATTGTCATGGTGACACCATTAGAGACTATTGGATTCTAAGACAAGGACGACTGTTAGTAGGAGATTTTCTTGATACTACACAGTACTTGCACGTGAACGCGAGTCACTTTGACTGGAAAACGTGATAGCCATCATCATTCTACTACAAGTATTTGCAAGAATGTCAGGGTGGTGGAAATAAGTTTTCAAATGTTAGAGCATTTGTTAGAGATTTGTGACCAAGAGAGGGCTTACCCTCCTTCAATAAAGATAATGGTGCTAACTTTTCTGGTGAAAAAAGAGGAAATTAAGCAAAAAAACTTAAAGAGTATATGACATGAATAAATTTTTACGCATTTTTAACTCATAAATATTTGTAAAAATTAATATGTATCCAAATTTTAAACTAAAAAAGGTCTGTATTTACAGGTTCATGGAGTCATGCATATGCTGAGCCTAACACTCCAACAACTTAACTGCTGTAGTACAGAGTAGTGAGATAAATAAATGCAATAATAATAAATTGTACCTTTGCCATCTTTAGCTTGTACTCTAGTTCAGGAGGTTTATTTTTACCATACTTCATTTTGTTATATTCTGTAGCAATGAACACAAGTACACCACCAATGCCTATATTATTTAAAAAATAATGAAGCTTGGTCATTAATGTAATATAGGTACAAAAGCCTACCAGATAAAAAATTTCTCTATCATTAATTCCCCAGGATAATCCTGTAGGATACTGCCTAGGATCCTGGATGATCCTAGACAAGATCTTATTCAAGGAGTCTAAGCAAGATTCTTCAGGATCCTGTGCAAGGTTCTACATGTATAGGACTCTATAGAATTCTGTGGAGTAATAAACTGGATCCTTTACAGTCAAGTTCCTACTGACATTGACTGCTCTGTAAAATGTAGCTAACTGATTAAATCACTTTAATAACTACATATGTCTGTCAGACGACACTTTGTCTCAGTTAATGTCCCATCTTTCTCACTCAGACGAATAAGAAAGTATTTAAGTAACCAAGCAACCCAGACACTTGTTCATGCCCTAATAATTGGGTGTATTGACTATTGTAATAGTATTCTGTATGGATTACCAGCTAAACAAATAGCAAAGTTACAAAGGCTCCAGAATTCTGTAGCAATACTTATTTTTAAGATTCCAAGGTTTTTTCACATCTCACCAATTCTGTGTACGCTTCATTGGCTTCCAGTAGAAATTAGGATTCATTTTAAGATTATTTTAATTACTTTTAAAGCGATCCATGGACAAGCTCCGGTATATCTACAAGAACTCATTAGCAAAGGGGAGGAAAAGAGATACAATTTAAGATCATGTGCAATGGGAATCATGCTTCAAACACCAAGAACTTTAACTAAAAAGACATTGGGTGACCGTGCTTTTTTAGCTGCGGCACCTAAACTGTGGAATGGGTTACCATCACAAATACAAAATGAGCCCAATTTTCATAGGTTTAAAGGTTTACTTAAGACCCATTTTTTTAGATTAGCTTTTTATTAGGATTTTTTAGGATTATGTATATATTATATTTTTATAGATCCATTGTTTTTTTTATATAATATTTTTAGTTATTTTGGATAACTTATTAATGTCGATAATTTACTTTCATGTAATGCGCATTTGATCATATTTACATGTATTTTGCACAATATAAATATTAAATTATTATTATTATTACTTACAGTGTAGTATATTATACCCTGGTGAAAATCATGTCCAGGATTCTGATCAAGATCCTGGACATGATGGTAGAGAGTCCTACCCATAAAAGATCCCAGACAATATCCTAGAGTCATAAAGGATTGTGAATATGATGTTGTACATTCTTGCTCAGGATTCTGAAAAATTCTGGACGAGATTATTATCACTCTCCCCCCACCCTCCCTTCCCCTGTTACCACAAAAAAATAACAGGAAGGCACAGGACTCTAGCGGTGCAAATTTGGGCAAAATTCCTTAACTGAACCCCTAGGAACAGGCCATAGTGTCCACAAAGTTTCAAGAGTTGTGTCCCTATCACTAGCAGAGCCGTAGCTGGGGGGGGGGGGGTTGGGCAAGGGGCGGGGGGGGGCAAGGGGAAGTTCAGCTGGGGGGTATCATGTAATCACCCCCCATCCCCCAAATTTGACCCAAATGCATTTTGACCCCCTTCTTTTAAAATTTTAAATTTATGTTTACCAAATTTTAAATTCTCCCAAACAGCAGATTCGGGGACGCTTCCTGCGTGGACACCGCGGGACGGTGGCGTTGTGCGCGGAAGTGGGTTGGGGTGTGGCGCTGGGGCAGGGCGGGGGGGGGGGGGGGGGGGGGGGGTGGGGCATGGAGCGGGGGGGCGCAAGGGGAAGTTCAGCTGAGGTGTATCATGTAATCACCCCCCATCCCCCAAATTTGACACAAATGCATTTTGACCTCCTTCTTTTAAAATTTATAAGTTATGTTTCACGAATTGTACATTCTCACCAACTATAAGAATGGCCCATAGCTCATCGGGTACAGTTCTTCGTATCCGTTTAAATCGGCTATCTTGTGCTAAATCTAAACACTGTATTACTATTGGAAACCTCCGCCCCTTCGTAGCACATGTCACAGCTGATCCTGGAACGCGGCCTTGATATGAATACAGTCCAGAACTGGTTCGATGCACACCACACGTTGCAGGACATCTGCTACTTAAAATAAGCCTGTTACTCTCAGCTAAAAATTTCCAATATCCGTTCAACCGATGCATGGCAAAATCAATACAATTTGCAGTTCAAACTTTTCCCCCCAGGTCCGCCATTTTGTTTGGTTACAAAGTCCTAAAGGCTAGGCTACATAGTGATTCTCGTGAGAGCGCGGGAACTTCGTATGTTATGCACTCGAAATTTCTTTCATCAACGTTTCGTTGATTTCAGCGTCAATTTCTCGTTCATCTGTTACTTTTATTCAACTTTAAAAAGGAATTCCTTAAGATGATTGGATGGCAGAATACGAGGAATGCTTTAGGAAAGCTCGAAGAATTGTTGACCTGTAAAATTTGGTGGGTATTCCCTGCATGATGATTTGTTTATTTTCTCCGGTAACAGCTGAATATCTGTTTTAACGGAAATGATGATCGGTTTTCAACTGATTTTTCTCTTTTGGTACTTTTATTTGACGTTTAGTGCTAATCTGGTGTCTGATCCTTGTTCGCTTGAAGCTTGCGATCACATCTTCTGTCGGTAAGTTTGTTGTGCAAGTTAAGCTTACAAATGCTTCCGTGACATAAGCTTAAAATTCTGTTGTGAACTAAACAATAAAATTCTGATTTTAATACGCTGCTTATTTACTTGTTCAAGCTTGAAAGCCTTTAATGACCCGTAAACTGATTTGTGTGGGCATACCGTACACTATTTTAATCTTCTCCACGGATTTGACATTTTACCTTCACCCCTCCCAACCACCCCAGGACATTTTCACTCTATTTTCCCAATAGAGTCTATGGGTGCGTTCCTTTGGGATAATCCGGATCAGGATCGTGATCTGAGATCACTTACATCTTGGTGCATCAAATGAACTAATGAATCCTTTCCCAGGGTAGATCCATTGGTTCCTTTGATGTGCTACATGTACGATCCAAGAACTGATCCTAATCCGGATCATCCTAATGAAGCGCATCCTATATGTTTTGTTTTTTATTTTTATTTTGTTTTGCAGTAACTGCATTAAGAAGCTGGTTGGTGCTGATTCTAAATGCCCAGAATGTGGAGCTTTTGCCTGGGTAAAGGATATGAAAACAAATCGTCAACTTGCAAATACTGTCAACATGTGTGCGAAGATCAGAATGTTAGTTGGATCTGATGATGATAGTGACAACAATAGGAACAAGGCACATGCAAGTAATGATAAAAAAGCCTTGGTTTCAAATAATTATTAATTACAACTTTAGTTATGTAATTTGTTTCGCCCTGATTTTTATTCGGAACAATCACTGTAGTGTACTGTAGGTGATGGTCATGGTGGAGGGGGGAGGTAGGTGGGTAGGGAGGGAGAGGTGCTGTCATTTGTGTATTTGTGCCAGTGTGAGAGGTATTGTGTCAAGCAGTTTCGTCTGGGATCGGGTACAGAAATCAGTGGAATTTGGAAGAACAGAGTGTCATTTATTGAACATTAATAATTTTGGTTCCTAGTCAAGGATACATGTACTTACAGCTGTATTGAGTTGAAAAAATGTAGCTGAAAGTAATACCATAATGATTGGTATAAGCTAAGACTTACAGAGTTCCAGCATCACACCCCTACCCAAAGAGAGAACCCCCCAAGGCTGCAGACATGTGTCACAATTCACAGTTAGTGATTAAATATTTCAGACCTGAAAATGAGTTTTATATTCAACATGTACTCTGGTCCTTCCAGCTCACAATTTTTTTAGTTACTTAAAAGACTTCAAATCATCTCTCTTCACTTACATGTAACAATAAATTCATGATCTTTCTTCTTAAAACAACAGCGTGGGAAGAAACACAAGCAACAGATGATCAAGGGAGTGACTCCTATCAGTTCTCATCACCAGAAGCGACTGCAGCAAAGTCAATTAACTGTGACGTTGCTCTCCAGGAAAACTCCATTTGCAATGGAACGGTTTTTAAGAAACCTGCAATGAAGACTTATGGTAAAACAAAGAAAGGAACACTGGAAAAGTACATGCAAAACAACTCCGAGGAACATGTTGACACCAATGCTGTTGGAAACAATCTGGAACAAAGTGATCAGAAGGTTTTGACATGTAAGGGTGGGAAACCTTCGAAAAGCAAGAAAGGAAAATCTGTTTTACCAAAGGGAAATGAAACAGTCGTGAGTGATACAAAGGTACCTGAGAGAGTGGAAATCAAAGAGAAGTGCTTTGGGAGAAAACTGAAAAATAAAAGAGTGAAAGTGACAGCCTCATGTGTTGCAGTATCATCTTGTAATAATGAAGAGATTGAAAATGCAAAGGAAACTGAGAAGCAGTTGATAGAGAGTGGAGACAACTTACAGTTTGGAGTAAATAATGAAGATGATAATATTGAGATGGAAGAATATGCTGATACAGAATGCTTCACACAGGTTAAATCAAGAGATGAATGCAAGGAGAGGTCAGCACTAGAAGCCAACACAGGACCTTTAGATGAAGGTGAATTACTGTAGCTTTGGCATTGCAATAAGCATATTAGCATACAGTTCTCTTCAATCAGCACTTGGGAAATCACTGCAGAATTGTTTGTTTACCTTGAAATCTTCTCAATATATCTACAAATGTTTTTATAGTAGACAGCTGCATCTTATTTAAGCAGGTGTCTGCCTTACACCTTAAAACATTTCTCTCTCTTCCATTTTTTTTCAGTTGAAGGGACTCCAGAAGATGTCAGGAGCATTCTCAGAACAAGAGCTCAGAGAAGAAAGTTACAAGGACAGCAAGTGGGGACGCCACCCAAGGCAAAACCTCAGAAGGAACAAGTAACACTCAGTGATATAGGAGATAAACAGACAAGCAGTAGAGAAAAGACAACCAAGCATAGCACAGAAACACCTGTCAAACAAGGTAAGAGCAATACACCTAACTTCAAAGTCATCTCTTATTACAGTGAATAGTCAGTGCACATGGAATGAGGCACTATTATAAGTGGGTCTATTTTGTGCCAATTGCACCCTTGGAAACACAAAGGAAATTTGTAGCGAAAAATTGGTCAGATCATTTGAGGGTATTTTTTCCAGGCACCCTTTCTTAATGCTTTGTTAGACAGTAACATTTCAAGAAACCTGGAAAGTTAGGAAACTTGACTTTTACAATATTGAACAATGCGGGCTATTGAAAAGGAGACATTAATGACTTAAACATAATTAACTTTATAGATTTGTAAAAAGTTCCCTTACCTTTTTTCCAGACCTGCCATTTTTCCTGATGTTTTCCTCAGTTACAGTGTGTACAGTCATGGTGGAAATGTTAAAGAATAAATTCCTGTTCCATTATTTTATTGATCTGATACAGGGAGAAACAAGAGGAAGCTTCTAGAACAGAATTTCTGCAGCCAACAGAGTTCTATCTCCTGTTCTCCAGGCACAAAGAGAAATAAACGAGGAGAAACACCATTGCAAGTGGCAACAATAAAGGTACTTTCAACAACACTTATGTACTGCATCTTTTAGTAGAGGCTGGATGCCTGAGGCATGTTTCAAACGTCGTGCTACTGCCGTGCTAAGCTAGCTCGACTGCAGCATGACACTAGCACGACTTGGTTTCAGACGTTGAATTTAATTCACACAATGACAGTTAAATGGAACGGCTGTTACCACTGAAAACAAAACACAAGAATGAAGAAATGGTTTAGCAAACTTTTAAATATATTCTAATGTATTTATAATGTATGAATTAAGTTCAGCACGGCAGCAGCACGACATTTGAAACCAAGTCGAGCTACTGCCGTGTAGCACGGCAAGGCTTGCCGTGCTACTGCCATGCTAAAGTTGAATCTAGTTCGATCAATTGAGTTGGGTATGGCAGTAACACGATGTTTGAACCGGGCCTGAGATGTCCAGGGACTTACATTTCTGACACAAACAAATACAGTCAAACCTGCACTAATGGCCAGCTTTTTCTGTCCCGGTGGTGGACAGTCCATACATTGACCCTTGTTTAAACCTTTCTACAACGGCCACCCCTCCACAACAGCAACGACCACTACAGGACGTCCCCACCTGCCAAAATAACCTCTCGACAATGGCCAGGTTTTTCAACGAGAGACAAAAAAGTCAGGAAAGGTCAAGAAATTTGATCCAGATGGCACCTCCATGATTAATTAATTGTGGCAATCATATTTTGTTAATGTTACCATACAATACTTTAAAAGGTAACGGATGTTGTAAGCCTTGCTGGCTTTGTCATTTTGACCTTTTGCTTAAAAACATTATTTAAGTTTCTTGTTGTGTATTTTATCTCTACAGTCATTAATGATTGAATTACCATTATGAGGTACAGTAAGCATGAATTGGCATGATAAACAGGTTGTACTCCCCTAAAAAAAATTGTCATAACACACCCCTACCTTCCCATAATGGCCACCTCTCTACAATGGCCACTTTCTTCTGTCCCTAGGGTGGCCGTTGTGGACAGGTAAAAAATAAAGCTAAGTTTTTGATAATATTAATTCTAACCTTGCAAGTAAGAATCATGCAATGACAGGCTTTGACAACATCTAAATGCACTTGCACTGAATTTGACACCACTTATCAAACTCCTAGGTTTATTTCTGACCGGTAACCAAAGAATCCTTTTTGCTTTCTCAGGGGTGTCTGGAAACTGTGAAAAAATTACTTGGAGAAGGGGCAGATCCTAACACCAAAGACCACGCTGGCTGGACTCCTTTGGTAAGTGAGTCATCAACAGTTGAAAGTCGAGAGTTTTTTTAATTGTAAAAAGTGTGTAAGTTTTTTTTTCAATGCTATATTATAGTTAATTTTTTATCTCAGCTACTTCTTGTTTTTCTTTTGTTTTCAGGTATGGTAATGACGCTAATGAAGTAAAAACAAAATGAAAATAAAAATTACCTGAGATAAAAAATTACTGTAAAATTCCAAAAATAAGCCCCTCCAAATAATTTATAAGCTCCCCAAAATCGTAACGCAAAAAACCCCACATTAAATCGCCCCTCTAAATATAAGCCCCCTGTGGGGCTTGTACTTGGAATTTGCAAAAATGGTTAATTTTCTTCCCACTACAAGCTAGCCCAAATGATTTTGAAATGCAAATTTCCCTCCACACATAAGCCCCTCCAAAAATAAGCCCCTCAAAAAGGGCCTTTCAAAAATATAAGCCCCAATAAGTGTTTAATGGGTGAAATTTTTTTCGTGGTCAAATCTCATTCAATCTTGCTTGTAGCCAACACAAGTCATTCAATAACAGAATGAGAAGTTTCTGAACTCTCTTATCTCCGCATTCCACTGTGGTAACCGTAACTTGGCAGTGCATCATGAAAAAAGCTTGGTTCCTGCGTTTATGAAGGGCCCTGTTAATCACCTATTTGGTAACCTACATGTAAATTGTAATGATTCTGGAAAAATCAATTATCCTTTTGGAAGAAAGTCTGGAAAAAGTCTTGAATTTTAGATTCAAACCTGTTAAATTCAAGTTACCGGTGAATCAATCAATTTATTAAGTTACATATTTACAAGTGTTTCATAAAATTTTAGCATGAAGCATGTAACCATGGTTACCTAGCCATAGCTGAACTGCTATTGGACCATGGTGCCATGATTGACATTCCTGGAGGTTTTGATCATGACACCCCCTTGCATGATGCTGTCACCAGTGGCAGGCTGGAGATAGCAAGACTTTTACTCTCCAGAGGAGCTCCTCTTGATATTAGGTGAGAAAACTAGGATTTTTAAAGCTTACACCCTACTGGTCTATGTGCAGACATCTCCTACATGTATTTTCTTTGCTGCTGTCAGAAAAGAGATGTCTGCAAAGTGCCGTTACTAATCGTGTTCCAGCCTCATTTTCAGGGCATTCAACTTTGAATAAAACTATTGTCTAAGCCTTGGTTTATTATGGAGACAACTTAGGCCTTTTGCAGAGCATATAATAGATTAGAACATTCCTCGACTACTTCTTTTGAGGGAGAGATGTGGCAAAAGAAAAATATGATGTAGGAGACATCTGCAATAGGCTAATGCTCTGTTGTACAATAACTTTCTTATAATATTAGTAACCTCTTCCAGTGGATATGTACGACCCTCAATTCCTTCATCACAGACAGTTCTTTTCGTCCCAAAAATGGTAGACTTCATGAAACAGGCACTTGAGTAATTTGCTTTAATAGAGGTTCGACTCGAAAACATACTTGTGTTCTATCTTCAGGCTCCCCTTTCTTAACTCCTCGCACTCTTAGGATGAAGCGTATTTCAAAAGTTTTTAAGAGTAAAGCTACGTAAATATCTAGAGTAAAATTAGAAGGGTTTAATACTTCCATGTTTGGTATCAATACATGTTACTATATCCTGTATATTTTTGTGTCTTCTACATGTACTGTAATACGTTATAAAGAAACAAAAGAGGCCTCCTTCCAAAAGACTACGCAGCAACTGAGGAGATGAAGTCCGTATTGTCCACGACAACACCTTTGAAGGATAGTGGATCCTCAAATCAGATGACCTCAGTATCTTTGGGTACAAAGGCTAGTATTACAATGATTTTTATCATTTAGACTGTGTATGCTAAAAGCTTCAGAAAAATACCATGGATATTTTACTTCTGCATATTCTGATATCCAACCCCCAAAAGTTCATTGCCAAACGTTTCTTTCTGTTAAACCAATTAGCCATGCGCGCGACTGGGAATGGGTCTCGCGACTTCGCCGGTCGTCGCTCTTGTGTTCACGCGTGCCGTTTTGTCCCTTTTTCGAGTTAAAAGACGTCATCCCGCGTTACGCGCGCTCATGTGAGACGATTTTCCGCGCACTATTGCTCAAAAGAAATAGGGAAAAAGGTGTGCTTTGACAGGCTAGCCATGAAATTGTGCTTTAAAGTCTGCTGCCCAATTTTTATGACCTTTATTATGCTACAATCGGGCATTAATGGGTGTGGCTTTGAGCTCAACAGTAGAGCGGATGGGGAGGTCTACCGTTTGATTCCTTTTAACAGTAGTAGGTGACTATGCTGGGACATTTATTAAGGATATTTCTTCTTTTAACATATACCTGTAGTGTTCACAAGATTCTCCAAAAGTTCTCCTGGCAACTGGTCTTAGTTCGGGGCAAAAGGTAACGCAACTTTAAAGACAGCTCATGATAAAACGTTTTGAATATGGTAGTTGTCATGACTACCTGTTTTTGAGACAAGCTACAGCTAACGGAAGTCCATGGTGAAAACAAAAATGGGGTGTTTCATTTTTTAGTGGAAACAATTGTGAGAAGGTATCGTGTTAATATAATAAGAAATTTACCAGAAATATCTCTACAATGCCAACCTGAGATTCGCCTACTGCAACGACGTTTAAAGGCCCCTCAAATGCGGTCTTGATCACACCGCTTGTATACAAGGGTATATTCCCAGACTTTTAAATTCCTTAATATATGAATTCCAACTATTATAGATACGGTTGGGTTTGCTTCTTTGACCAATGACAGAGATATTATTATCCTGTTTTGTTCTTGTGGTCATACCTTAGACTACTGTGTGGCACGAAATTTTTGCGTGTTCTAATTTTTTTGATTTTTGCGGTCTTTCCAGCGATCCGCAAAAATATGTTCCCGCAAATAAGAATTACCGCAAACAGTTTTCCCGCAAAAATTTACTCCAGATTAAATATTCTCCAACTTGAATTCGCTACACAAAGATACAGTACAAAGAAATCGTCTCTGTTCAATCACAACTTGTCAAACACAACGAAATACTTGTTTATTATTTGAAAATATGTATTTCTATTGCACCTACTTAATAAAAACGAAAATATTATAAACGCTGGGTACTGGGTACTTTCTGAAAATCGCAAAAATTAGTTCCCGCAAAACACCAAAAAATCACCAAAACGCAAAAATTTCGTGCCACATGGTATATTACGCAGCATGTTACAGTAATGGTTCAAGTATTCTGTTTCAGACGAAGCTCCAAAAGTGCTCACAGATTCTCAATGCAAAGATCGTTAATGAGTTCTCTCTTTCTGGTAAGTGAGCTGAACGTTTCGTAAGTTTGTGTTACTGGTTATTGTTCAGTTTTCACGTGAAACAGATAAAGCGGATAGAGTAATCAAAGTGACGACAAAGCCCGCCGCATGTTTGAAAACTAACTCCTTTCTTCCATACACCAAAATGCAGTTGCAATGTGTTCGTTGGGACTCGACAGAACTATTACAAAGGGCTAATTTGTATTCAACATTGAAAGAACGCTCTCTGTAAAATTTGCCAGAAAAAAGTAAGCTTTCGGCAGTTTCTTTCCCGGTCGGTAAAGGAAAAGCTTTAGAATGGTCGTGACAATTTACGGACTGTGAAAGATTTTTAACCAGAGAACTCAGCTTAAGAAAACTATTTTTGTAACATACTTTGGTAAATTGTTCATAGTGACGCACATTGTAACAGCAACAAACAGCAAAAGAGTTTGTCCAAGGACCATCAAGTATCTGAATGGCGTGGTGACTGGAAAATGGATAGTGAACTACGATTGTAAGTAAATGTAATAGTAGAGTGGATATCTAGAGCTCTTTCTGGAAAGTTCCGCTAACGTAGACTTTTCTCTAAGAGTTTTTGAAGCTGTCCTAAGATACTTGTGGTTTTCAGAAACCACAACAAGGAAAATATGAGTACAGTCGGCTTCAAGTGTAGACAGCTTAAGCAACAAGAACGGCCAAAAAGCAACCGTTTAATAAGCGAAACTTAGCAACAACAACTTTGCTCGTGCATCACACTTTCCGATACATTTCTTTGCCGTCTTTGCACGTCTTTGACGTGAAATTTCCTAATTTCACGTTTTATGGAGGACGTCAACTTGCAAAAATGAACAGCGATTTTCTTTTTGCTTTTTCTGAACTTGGATACAGTCCTTAAGAATTCAACCACAGACAAATTCGCCCATATTTAAATTGAGCGAGGTTAAGAAGTAGCGCGATAAAGTTCAATTTGAAACAGCACGAATTCTCTTTTCAAGTAACGTTTCGCTGCCCCGCTATCATGGTTGCCTAACTTAAAGGTCGTGGCTGAAGGGTTGAGTTACAAAGAGGCCTCACTTTCAATCCCGATATGTATCAAGAAATATCTACCTACTAACTACAGTACAGTTAAAATCCTACAGACGATAAAGCTGTTATCATGGAGTTACGCTGGCGATTACAGATCACTACACGGTCGACCAGTACAGCGAAACAACCACTCTTATCTTGTTTAGACCTCTTTGCCTGCTCGACGGTGACATTTAATAATTTAGCGATATTTATCCAAGGGTCCCGTTTGTGTGAACGGCTGGACTTCGCAAACAGCATCTTGTTTGTCAGCGGCAAACATGACCAATATATTTTAAATATTGGCTCCTGATCACATTTCTGATTCTGTTGTTTTTTGTTATGTGTAGAATGCTTTTCATTGGTTTAAGAATTACCTGTCCCGTTAAAAAGTACGAGCTTCCATTGGAATACATAATTTCCAATAATTCTCCTAATGCCATCTATTGTTCCGCAGGGATAGAAAAATGCTTGCGGCGGAAAGCCTGGATAGATGAGACTGCGTATGAGATAAAAGGAACAAATGATGCGGCTGTCGAGGCGCCCAAAAGAGCCCGAATTAATTCAGTTAAGCAGGTCAGTTGATATACAAACAGGTTGTTTCTAATGATGGTGGCAGTGGCGGTGATGGCGATGTTGTATGCTGATCATTGATGATGGTGATGATGATGATGATGATGATGATGATCAATGATGATGACGATGATGATGACGGTAGTGATGATCACGGCGGTCATGGTGGCAATGGTCTTGTCAATAATGACTGCAACTGCTGATGATAAAAATGATCCTAGTTTGGTAATGATAACGGTGATGAATTTGGCAAAGAATTGCAAGGCTGATTGTTTTACTAGAAGTGTACATATTTTTTAAAAGAGCATGTCATCAGGCACGGCCACACTACTTTTGGTGACTCGACTAATGACTCGACTGGATTTTGCAGGGGCAATGTAAGAATGCTCATACTAAGTCTAATACAGCTGATCGTTTCCCTATCTCTTTGTTAACGGCGACGTACACTGTAGTTGATGCTAACTTTAGTACATCTAAGGGTGCATTTCATCAAACAAAACTATGTTTCAAAAAAAAATTTTGACTTTTGCCGTGATCCATCCTTCCAATGTTGTTTTCCAGCTTCCGGGTTTATTTGACGGTTGCAAGTTTTACTTCTATGGTGAATTCTGTCCACCCCACCCCCCAAAAGAAGACCTCATCCAGATGGTCAAGTTTGGCGGTGGAAAGATTCTTTCACGTGAGCCGAAACCAGACGTGGACGAGACTCTCTGCTTGCCCACGTCGCAGAAAGCTAATGTGACCGCAGTCACTTTAGCGCCTGTCGCTTACCACGCCAATCCAACCTCGAGAAATTATCGCTGCACACAGTACGTGATCTACGATTCTTTAGCGGACAAAAAGCCCCACATCTGGAGCACTGACACTGTGTGTACTGTGCCTGTAACTTGGCTTATGGACTGCGCTTCGAACTTTGCAATCTTAGAATTAGATTTGGATTAATTTTATGGTCTTTGTTGTCTTTTTTAACATTCTTCGCTCCGTAAAACAAATCTTTACGAACGGTCATACAGTCAAGACTACCTTTGGAGTCTGCTTTGGAAGAAGTTTATAAGTATTAGTGGTTTTCTTTGACGTTATTGCTTAAAGGGGCTACGATATGCTATTTGCCATCTTTTTTAAGACGCTAAAAGGTTTCTCGCATCCATTGAATTTCAAAAATAATGGTTCCTTTACGTTATTTAAGAATATAATTAGGCATTGAAACTGTTTCCTGTCGTCTGTTGCAACGGATAGCAAGGATTGAAACTTGAAAAAAGTAGGACCAACCTTTTGAAATGCAATACCTGCAAACTCACCAAAAAGTTATTAAGGTTAGTGCTCCCTTATAAAAGGTTGTTTGATGTCCTCTTTATAACTCTACATGAGGATTTTGTGTCTGGGTAAAGGTACAAAGAAATACCTTCACAGCAGAGAATCTACCTAAAACAGCGATGTCCTTGTGACACGCTAAAATGTTCCGTTTAAAGGGGAAAAATCAGGGGGGACCGTTTGACTCTTGAGCAGGAGGGGAGGGATATCTTGCGAAAAGACTTGGATCGAAAAAAAGTTATGTTCAAATTAACAAAAAAAATAGGAAAAAGTAAGTCACACTGGATAACAACTTTAGCCCAAATCTTACAGAGCAAAATTAGAGGTCAACTCATTTACCTAAATCTTGGTTTCAGCCTTAGTTTTCTCCCTAAATATTGCTTCCACTGAGGCACACCTCGATTTGTACTCACATATCCCTTGAGGAAGGGTTTAGCGTTTGGATTTCATACCCAACAAATGACTGTAGTCCGAGTAAAAGGCATTAACTAGAGTTTTTATTAGTTGCGTTAACCCTGTACAAGACATTTTAGTAGAAAATTTTAACAAGTCTAAAGTGCCCAGAAGATCAAATGTTAAATGCGTTTAAACAGGCCCTAACGTCCACAGCAAAACCAATGGCGATTTATGTTGTCATTAATTATACAGGGTAAGCTTTACAAAAGGGTTGAAATTAATAGAATACCGTCTGTTTTTCACAGGTGCGAAAGCAAAGGAAAAACAGAATCGTCAGAGTAGTTTTGAACGCTTAAAAACGTTCCAATTGACAGAAGCTTGTTTTATAAATATGCTTAAGAAATAACCATCTGTTACATTGTAAAATAAATTACAAGCAAGTAGAGGTTAAGACCCCAAAATTAAGTCTATACTTAGCTACAAACATGTCATCCTCCATTCGAGAGATGGTCATGGTGGTTTTTGCAATAAAGAAACTAACCCCAGATAAAAAACGTTCAAAAATAATTAAAGCTAAATTTAAACAACTTCAATTGTTATCAAGTTGTGTTTTCCTGTTGTTTGTACAAATTTAAAAAGACAGTTATCTATTTGGTTTAAATATCAGTTTAACGGCCCCCACCCCCCTCTCCCCAACAACAACAAAGAAAATTAACAGTAACAATCAATATTCTCATATCGCCCTGTGTCATTTCTATGACACAGGGCAACCACTCAGAGGACGACAAGCTTGTGATACGACACAGTTAAATTGCTTTTGCATTAAGAAGTATAAGTTTACTTAAGTTTTTTTTTATTCCCGAAAATAAAACTAAACGTAAACTTATTACTTTCAAATAGTGGCCACAATTAAATTGGAAATTCTACAAGAAATTTTATGTCAATTTGCAAAAGCAACATCGTAAGCGAATGAAGGGGAATACGTCTCTGCTGTGACACTTAATTTTAAAAATGTTCTATGTTCTTATAGAGGCATAAAAAATACTGCAAATTCAAAATTTGCCATTATTGTTTATTTTCGTATATGGCCAAACCGCGGTAAAACATGTAATTACTAAGGCGCTACGACCCAATTATTTTAGAGAAAGGAAAGTATTCTGGAGAAAGAAAAGCAACCAACAAGAGGAGGCATTTCTATTCCATTTTCGGCTTCCCTGACCTCCACAGGGCCTTACTAATTCATAGTCTCTTCCCGAGGCTCAACACTTTTTTTTCTCAGTCTTAACATTTCTGTTAGCTATGGTCGAGTTGAGTCTAGTGTGGTAAAACGAGTAGCAACACTTACAAAGGCCGTGCAGGAATTAGTTGCAACGTTTTTCTACGAGACAAAGTGTGAGGGAGATGACTCGCGATTTTTGCAGCATGACAGCATACTAACTTGGCTATGATGTGAGTACGAGCAATCGGATGGCATTAGAGAAGAGAACATTACAAAACCAACCGGATAACATATAGCAAGCAAACCAGTGCCCCTACCTGTGCATTTAAAATTTTGATAACAGGGCTCCAGCTTAACCCGATTTCCATAGCATGAAGCAGATAAAATGATAACTATTGTTACGCCCACCTTCTTGGATGGGATGTCAGTTCAATGCAGGATTACCCTCCCCCCAGTAGTATGTCAGTGATACCCATTTATACACCTGGGTAAAGAGACAAAGTAGAGCAAAGTTTTTTTGTCTGAGGAAACACCTAGCCTGTGCCAGAAGAGCAAAAAAAAACAAGCGAGCGAGTCGTGAAATAGCGGTTTTCACGCTACTTTTCTCGATCTGCTTCCCCCACTATCTTGAAGCCTGGAACAGACTACGAAACAACACGATAGTAAGACTCGGAAACAGACCTGAAGATCCAAAGTTCGACGTGCTAACCTCTCGGCTGCCACGCCTCTATACGATGCGACGTCACATCACGCCATGGTTATTAAGTCTGTCGTTAAATACATTAATTAAACTGAAACAGTTTCGGAGCATTTTTTCGTTAAGCAGTGTTCTCTTTGTTTTTGTCGTCGCAGCTGATAAAATTTCCCTGTTCTACATCAAAACACAGTATTTTCAACTGATACTAAGTAACAATATAAAAAGCAAGAAAGCATCTTAAAAATAAGCTTAGGAAATATTTAAAATATTGATAGCATATAAAAACTAGCAATTAAAATTTAACAACTAAGATATAGAACCACAAAAGGAAACCTCTGTTTCGTAGTTCAGTCTTTTAAATTCCGGGGAAACACCCTTTATGAGCAGAGATAAAAAAAAAAAAAAACATTCGAAGTAGATGATATCCCTCTAAATGGTAGCAAACTAGAACAAGCTTGAAGTCGAAGCTAATATGGGAAAAATCTTCGCTTTAAAAAATATTTACATGTGGAAAGATTACCCCTAAGAGCCTCGATTGCAAGCTACATCCAGTCTGTGAAACAGAGAAAAATTATGACGGGGTTTATACTGTAAAAGTGCGTTGCAGTGCTGTCTGTCTTCCAGAGTTAGTAAAAGACTCCTATTTATGACTTTGATTTAGTCAATCCGTCACCCAGATACGAAGATTATCCGGAAAAACTGCCAACCAAGAGAAACCTGAATCCAAGATGATCGAAGTTTTGACCAAATCTTGTGGATAAATATGACGCCAGACATTGTCCAGAGAAAGTTAATTACCAGAGACGAAAATAGTCTTTCCCTTGGTTCACTTCGCGGAAGGATTTCTTGACCAAAGCTTTTCATGGTGTGAAAAGAAGTGGCTTATCTTCTTTCCTACGACGAACTGTTTCAGTCGATGCGCTTCGGCGCTTCTCAGACTGCAATGAACTACTAACTAGCTTTGAGGTGTTGGCAGATTCAAGCCTTTCCATTGTCTAACATTCCCTCCATTTCACTTGGGTCACTAATATTCTTGTCATATTTTTGACGTTTGAAGAATCCCATCTAAACCAGACCAAAAAAAAATTCGAAGGTTACTTTGCTGTCGATCACCGTGGTCTTATTGTTCAGGTTGACGAAAACATGTAGGCATGCGCATTTAAAACACGCATGGAATTCGGCATTCCTTACACGACTATTATTCGGAAAGATTCGGAAATAAGTCAAATATTTGAGCCTGTAAGAGCCCAACTGCCGGCTAGAAGAGACAGGACGCTCCACAGGTTTAAAAAGGAGCGCAATTCTACACCTAGAGTAAAAGTGGCACGCCCTTGTGGTCTTATGTAAACCACCCCACTATAAAAGCTACGATGCCTTTCCGAGAAACTCGAATGTTGGAGTGTACTGAGAAGACCCTTACAGAAACCAATCAACCCAGAAATGTCAAGACCCCCCCCCCCCCCCCCCCAGAAAAATGTCAAGACCCCCCCCCCCCCTCGGATAGTGCTTTAAACCCGTTCACTCCGGATAGTAGCAAATCAACACAAATTTCCAAAACGTCCAGATATCTCTTTTGTAAAACCCTACCGAATTAATAGCACCATGCAAAAGTGCAGCCAGAGGTTTCAATTGAATGGTAATACCATAGGATTTCATCCACAGACATAAAAGTCATAACAACATACGAAATAAATGGTACCATGTGAAAGTACTGCTGAAGAGGTTTCATTTGAATGGTAACACCATGGGATTTGGTCCAAAGACTCAAAAGTAACAACTACATGCCAAATAAATAGTACCATGTAAAAGTACAGCTGAAGAGGTTTCATTTGAATGGTAAAAAAATGGGATTTCATTCACAGCTTTAAACGTTCGAGTGAAAAGTGACCTCGCCATAACCTGGTCTAAGAACGGAAGGATTAATGATGCCGTACAACAAAACTTGCAGCTATTTCGAGCTTTAACCTGATCGATATTATCATTGGTACTCACCTTATATAAGCAAAATACTATTAACACTAGAAGAAGCACTGCACCTACAACGCAGACCGGTATAACCCAGTTTGGCAGCTTTTTAGAAGGTGCAGCTACATTGGTATCTGGGGTTAATTCTGTTCCAACCTGTGTAAGAATCACAGAAGCGTTATTGACCAAGCGTGATGTCACGATATACTACTTACTAACCGAGACTGAGGTCATTAAAGGGAAGTCTCAGACCGAGGCCTTGGTGTATTGACCGAGCGATAGCGAGATCAATTCATCAAGGCCGAGGTCTGAGATTTGTAATAACAGGGCATCAGTTTCTCCTTTGAAAAAGTT